CAATGTTTCATTTTTGAATATTTTGCGTCGAGGGTTTAGGGTCAAAGAGGACTTCATAAAAATTTGCGGAAGTTAGAGAGGACTTCTTTCTTTGCATATTCGGAAAGTGGCTATCTCTCAATACACATAATCCTAATTCAACATAGATTCTATGGTTGCTACAGCTTAGCGGTGATAGTAGTTCACATTTTTTCTTTCCCCATTGCCATAATCCGAAATTGCAAAAAATCATTTAACGGCTAGAGTTATTATTCATTTGATTCATTTTTTATTCATTTCATTAGGATGTTACATAAGTTTTGTTACACCTGACAGAAAAATCTTCGTGGCTTTTTCGGAAGATTTTTCCGTTTCCAAATTATCTTGGGATTTCGGATTTTCAATATGTACATATCACCATAGAAAATCTGATTTTCTTCAATTTTCTAAAAAAAATTTTCGGATATTTTGGGCAAATTTCCAACTTCCGTTATTGTAGAGCTTGCACTTCCAGACTTTTTTTAGCACTATGGAGATTATCAGTAGCCCATAAAAAAATTCAAAAACTTGAAAAGAAATGTGGGAATATTTCTAGAGAATAAAAAGAAAACTGGAGATTGAAGTGTCGTTACAGTATCGCCATTACAGTAAACGTAAGATAGTCATGAAAGTGAAAATGATGCCAATAGATAGCTTCCCTTTCCTTCCCCATATGTGCCAAATTCGAGACTTTGGGTTTTTTTCTTCTTTCCCCATATATGCCAAGTAACTTTGCCAATTTTTTGGGAGTTTTATAGAGGAAGACGAAAAGAGTCTAACAAAACTTACCTATGGACGTAATATTATTTTTAATTGGTTTTCAAAAAACAGGCAGCTATCTGTTACTAGAAATATCCTAATATTTCAAAAAGTCGAACCATCACCATTTTTCTTTTTACGACTCGATGTTTGATGATCACAAGGAGAGAAAGGGAGAGGGACTCAGGAACGAATGAGGAAAGAAAGGGATAAGTATCAAACAGTGCATGCATAATTGAAATTTTTGAGGTCAGACCAGGTTCTGCTTGATAGCAAGCCATAATATATCGGATTTGTAAATTCCGTCTAAATGCCTATTTGAGAATCTGTTCAAGCTTTACTTCGCCTTTTCTCGAACTACCTAGGAGCAGCATGGGCAGAATCTTATATATAAAGCTGAATGTCTGTTTGTCTGTCTGTCTGTCTGTATGTCTGTATGTCTGTTTGTCTGTCTGTCTGTCTGTATGTCTGTATGTCTGTCTGTACGTATGTTCCGAATAGAAAATTCCATTTCTGAATCGATCCGGATCAAACTTGGCACACATACACTTCGGGCCCCGGCGGGTGTCATAGGCTACTTTTCGTCACCGATCGATATCGATTTTATCGATTTTTTGCAGAATTTGAGCTACAGGGCTGGGAGTTGGCACAGAGGGGTAATCGAGCATGTTGATTACAAATATATTATTGACAGGGCCGGGCGGAGCCGGGTAAGCCATCTAGTCAAATAATTTCTTTGATAATGAAGGACAAAATTACATATGTTACGTTTTCATTCCATTTCGTTGCTTCCCTTAGACGGAATATGACTTTGCTTCCCTTAGACGGAATATGACTTGATGCTTCCCTTAGAAGGAATATGACTTGATCTCTAACAAAGGGAATTCTTCTCTGGTACACCTCAATCAGGAAGGAAGACTCATCAGTATCAAATGAAAAGCAAGGCTCGCACAGATGGATTGTAAGCAAGCTGGATTTCGCTTTTGGGACAAAAAGCAAAGGGGTATCGTTTTTGGGACCGAATAGACAAAAAAATTGTAAATTGTTTTTTAGTTGACGTTTCGTTTTTTGAAGCTTTTTCTACTTTTAGAGTTTTAGGTTCAAAGGGCACTTCGTAAAAAAGCCAAGGGGACTTGGTTTTTGCATTTTCCAAAAGCCACCTCGTGCCGAGCCCTTTCACTAAAAAGTTGAAAATGTAATTGCATCATATTTGACTTCAATACATTTGAATAAAACTGAGTTTATGTAAGGATGTGGCATGACTTACTTTCAATATCCGTGTTCATTCTATTGAATGGCCGCCAAAATTTGTCAATGCATAAATGAAAATACCAGACTTGTCATTTTAAGCTATCATTATTCTGTTTACATTGTTCATAATCTACTCAAAGTTACATTTTTGTAGGCGTTTGTAATCTTACAGTTAAATATTTACAATAAATATGTATAGAGTCTGTTACAATTTCAATATTTCAGCTAAGGGTTTATTTTTTGTTTTTTCGTGCAATTTAGTTTGATAGGTTATGTACTGTACTTGATTGTGTCGAGCGCTTTTTCTACTCTGCTTGACGTGGTCGGTATTAGTGAATTTACGTAGCAGTGATTACGATCTCAAAACTTCTTCTCCATTTTTAGCAGTTACTAACAATTTAATTTGATAATGTTTTCAATATGACGTCATAGCGTCATTTTACGCAAACTCGGCTGACCAATGTGCGCATCAGATAATTCTCTAATACCTCTTAAAAAGGCGTTTTAAAGCAGCTTTATATGCACACATGGACATAAAAATTGCGAAATGACTAGCTTATATATCAATGCCCATAAATCCTTGGCAAAAATGAAGGCATCAAAAATGTAGCATGGCTGATTTTTCGTAATTTTACGACCATTTGATGGTTCTAGCAAATTACACCAATTTTTGATTATGGTAGCAGTAAATTCGTCAAAACTATTGCAGCCTGTCTTTTGCTACCAGGAACTCACAATTATTATTTTTTTAAGGACAATTTGGTTTAGCTGCGAACACTAAAATCTGACAGAAGCTCTAAATGCTACAAGGAGAAAACGTATATGAAGAACACCGTAATTGCTGTCCGTTCCACATCCTGATAGAGACGCACGAGAAAATTACAGGAAGTGAAAAAACTCAAATGTGTAAAGATTTTCGTGCCAATGTTGTAGTTTGCTCTAGCGTTGCTTAATTCGGGACCATTAAAACTCAAAGCTTGACGATTGAACCAAAAATGTAGCACAGTCACGCTACCATGTTGCAAATGAGTTTTTGAAGTCTAAAAATGCAAAGTCAAAAAATTAGTTTGGGCAGATCAGATGTGATTTGCAACATTAGCACCACGATCTGCAGATTTGCGGCTTAATAAATGTGTGCATTTGCGGAACATTTTATCCAAATTAGTCGCAAACATATCTCGAGAAATTCTTGAGTTAATTTTTAGTAAAAAGTACAACGCACTAATGACTGGGTAGGAACAGATTCAGGATGTATATCTGAGCGTGAAATTGTGCAACTGCAGACAAAATGCACATTGCCCATCGTAACCTGGGTATAGTTTGTCTTTTGCATATGAACATCTACTTTAAAGGCAGTGTCTCACCAAAGTTGAGGTCGCGCGGATCCTCACATATTCTATCATGGGGACCCTTAAATAGGCCATTGCAACAAGTCCCATTCAATTTGACCCCCTCCACGTTGAGAAAAATTCGCTCAAAGTGGTACGCCCAGAGCGATGGGTACGCGCGGACGACTCCTTCGGTTTCCCCCTTACGCGTATGAACACGTCCCTCTACTTGGCATCCACCTCCCTTCTGTTGCTGCCACTGTGGCTGAGGCTGAAGTTGGAAGGTACAACTCGTCCACGTTGCTTCCTCGGGGCCTCCAGAAAACGGGGTTTTTGGGAACTTCGTGCGATTTCAAGCCCATGCAGCGCTAGACAGGGTCCGACAGGCTTGCAAAATGCAAAAATCTGGGCAACTAAATTTTGGTGAGACACTGCCTTTAATATCTGCGATTTGGCGCTTGAGTATGTTGTCTGCAAATGCACAGATCAGGATGATGAATTCAGATGGGAAAATCTTCCTTTATAATATTCATAATGGGAGAAAGGAGAATAATTCGAGCACTTTCATTGGATTTTTTGTAGAATTTTAAGGAAAAAAAACGGTGAAATGGGTTAGAATTCTAAAAATTCTGCATTGTAGTTTTTTTCCTCAATTCGGGTCCTACATATATTGTGCAATTAAAACATTGCTGCATGCAATGTGTAACCGCATTTATTTTTATTGTAGTTGTTCAAAAGTTTTTTCTTCTTTATTTTTATCTAAGCCGAAATTTCTTGGTTCTTTATTGAATACAAATCACGAAGGCCGAGGAAGCCATGAAAAGAAGCTCCATGTAAAGTAAGGGAAAGAAACACAGGATTAGGACTTGGCCAGAACCTTAATCAGGAAGTAGACAGCATAAAATCAGCTTGTTCTCTCCATATCCTCCCCCCCCCCCGTCATAATTCCAAATTTCCAAGGAGGCGTATTTCCAAAGTTTATTTGCAGAAAAACTGATCAAGCAAGCAAGTTTGTTACCATTCAGATTCTTCTAATGTTATTCCTACTTAGCGCGGATTGAAAAACACAAGAAATAATTGGACTCACAAGAAAACGCACTACTTTGGCACGGATCAGGAATACTGTAAAAGTATAATCAGCAACTGATCATGGATCGCAAATCCCCACTAAGGTAGTAATCATGTAAAAGCAGTTAGATGCTAAACGCTGTGCAAGAGCGGTAAATAAAGTGATGAAATTGCAAGAAAGACGCAGTTTTTATGAAAATCCTGCTTCCGGTTTTCGTCAGCATCTTTGCGATTTTTTTTACGTAGGATTACGGTAGCTCTGACTTCAACACCTCCTTTAATCTCCTCTTAACAATGCGTCTTGCTCGTCATCTGCAGATATGATGATCATTTCGGAAACAGCAGCTTACGCGCTCGCTCCCACTCACCCAACCCCCCCCCCTCCCCACCTTCCTACCCCCCCTCCTTCTGCGTTTATCCGGACTCTTCCCACTCATCCCTCATACAGAACACATATCGACGCACAGCTAGCACGCCTCCAACAATATCGCGCCGGGGCCCGCCCCACGGCCACGCCCATTCGCGCAGGCTGCCGCGCCTGAGCTTCTGGTAGCGCTGTGTCGGCGGCATCAGGTTATGCCGTTATCACGAACCGTTATGCATAAATTGCAATTTGCTCGTGGTATCGGACAACGCGAAATGATTCGCGCCAATACGCTACCCAGTATCACTAGGGCCAAGGTGAGAGGATTACGGTAGCTTTCGTAATTGTGCGAGTTTTTTACGCTTTTCTACGGCTTTACTCATTATCATACGGCTATTCTTTCATATAATGACTTATCTTCTTGTTTATTCATTATTTTGCGTATTTATAAAAAAAATTATCATTCATAAATTATTCAGGATGCTCCATTAGTTTCTACCCTAAATTCAGTCCTAAAATTGGTACTGTGCCGCAAATTTTCTGCAATTGCACAATTTGAAGACTCAGTTAGTCTCCTGTGACCTTCAAATGCTTCACATCACACATTTTTAGCAGAGCGTTTGCCAATAAAGTACATTTTCAAAATTTTTTGAACCTAAATCCTCAAATAGGTTATTGTTCGTAGTTTTTCTGCAGTTGCACAATTCTGATCAAAAAACATTTTCCTTTGTATTTTATGGCTCTCAAATGTTCCATTTCGCATCTTTATCATAGCATTTGTTGTTACAGTATATATTTTTTCGACAATTTTTTACTTCAATCCTGTTTTCAAATTTAGTTACTGTACTACAGTTTTTTCTGCAGTTGCACAACTTTGACCAAATTGAATGTTTTTTGTATTATTCCTCTCAAATGTCTTAGAACACATCTAACCATATCACACGTCTTTTATGAAGTTCTCAATTTTTTTTTTAGAAATTCTGCTACTTTAAACAATTTTTCATTGGCGAATTTCCAAAATCTGAAGTTGCGAATAGTTTTCTACAGTTTACAACCTTTTTTTTCAAAATTTTTCCTGTATTCGTCAGACCGTCTTTCGCAGCTCCGTGAATGTTTATTTTATTTGAAAACTATCTAACATTCTTATTTGGCTTTGAACTGCACAGAATTATCCCCACCCTCCCCCTTTCTCCTTGAAATTTACTAAAAACAAATCAATATTTTGTTAAAACTCAAAGTCAAACACTCACAAATGTCTCCAATTAGTATTCTCTAAACAGACAGCAGGTGGAAAAAATGCGCTCTAATTTACAATGCATTTCCATTACTGAAAGATTAACAAACTCCCTCAGGACAAACTTTTTTTGAAAGAGGGACGATGTGTCATGGGGTTAATTTTGAATTTATAAAAATAGAGTAGGGCAGAGTAAAATCGTTTTTGGAAAATTTTGATTTATTGGGATCTGTTTGCGATAAGGAGATCGTTTCTGATTTTCGTGGTTCTATCATTTTCTGTCAATTGCCCCCGCCCCCCGGTTCAAATATTTCTTGTTATAAAATTCTACGTTTTTTTTATGAGAATGCTAGATTGATTTCTTCATAGTTATATAATCGATATTTTTCAATTTTCAGTGTCTGAAAAGAAATACCAAATTTATTTTTTTATCTTCCTTTCTTCTTATTTCGAATTCGGCCTACAGTAAGACTCTGCAAACAGTTATATGAACTTCAAAGTTTTTCCCAAATTCGAAATGTCTTGTAAAACAACACCCTACAGTATTCCTAAGAAATATTAATATTTTATGATAGAAAGGTAATAATGTAACGAATATATGTGTCTAAAGAAGTTTGTTGAGCAAAGAAAGGTTTCGCGTATCTTATTACCATTTTCCGAAAAGTGGTGCGAAACTTTGGCCATCTAAAAAAATGTAAAGTTTTAGGTAAAGCAAGTCCAACATTGAAAGAAAAAATTCAGGAAATGAGGCATTTTTCTATATACTGATCTGTAAAAAATTTGGGACCCATAAAAATTCAGACTTTTAACAGATATATTTTCGAAATAAAAAGCAGTTTCTTACCGCAAAAAGAACAGATTGTTTATTGCAAAAAACGTTTTACTCCAAAAATTTTTAAGAAATTGTTGTCCACTAAAAGTGCATTTCTTTGAAATTAAGACTTTATAAAACAATCTACTGCTGCATTTCTATTTTTTTATCTACTATCGCAAAATTTTTTTCTCAGAAGCTTCACATAAAAATTTTGTGTGCGTTCAAGATGCGCGTTTTCTTGAGGTACGAGTCGTGACGTCTCTGACTCGATCTAGTCGTTTTCTCATAAATGCATTAATACCCAAGCATCCAGACACCAGAGTAGAAAAATAATATCTATTTAGTCCAACTTAGTCCAAAAAGTATTTTTAGCTTACTCAACGAAAATGCATAGTGTGGTACTAATATGAGCTTTTTTTCATTTTCTTTCATTTTTGAACCTTTGCTTCCTCCTTGTGATGCAATAAATACAAATTAATGGATGCGGTTCTATCAAAAGAAGACAGGGCTTCTTAAATCTAATATATGAAGAATCGTAACGCCATCTCAAAAAAAAAAACACCAGATAGCGGGAACCGCAACGTGGTCCCGAAGCGCGCGGGTGCACATCTAGCAACCTTTAGGATTATTGGTTCACTAGTTCTGCAAAAAATGGCTAAAAACATATTGAAACTAATAGGAAAATCAGTTTTCTGTTGGAAAAGGGGTTAAAAACATACAGTTATAAGAATTTCAATCTTGTAGCCTCAGTACAAGTTGTTGATTATTTGCTGCGTTTTAAAAATGCAAAATATAATAGAAAGAAAAATCAAAATTGAATTTTTATACTTAGAAACAATGACAATTGTATAGAAACCTCAGAACGTAATTAACAAACATACTGAAACAAAGACGATGTCGCGGCTCGCGCGATGCAAGCCACTCCTCGAAACAGGAGGCCGGGAGCGCTGGCTGCCGCGTTACTTGGCGCGCTATCAATTTCGCGCCAAGACCTCTCCCTTACTGGGCGCGTTGCCAAGTCACAGGGTATATAAGGGCGCGCAGGCCGCGGTCTACGCCTCCTCGAGTTCCGTTCGTTATCGATCGTTTGATGATATCAACCCGCTGGCAGCGCCTCCAGTAGCTCCCGCAGATGATCAACGGTTTCGAGCGGTTGAGCCTTTGATAATCTTCTTGTGTATGGAGACGCGCAGCTCAGGTTGTAGTCTAGCGAGTAGTTGAAAAGGATTGCGGGAGTGGAGAGGGGTCACGCCGTCCCGTACGGGCCAGGGGCTTGCGGTTGACCCAGTGGAGGACCCGGAACTACACGTTGGAGATGATCTTCTTGGAGCATCGGCAGCACGGGACGAAGCGGCTCTTCCCGTGCCCATTTTCTTTCTCTAGTAGTAGTAGTCTTTTTAGTAGTTTAGGTTTCTGTGTTTGTTCTTATGTTTTAGTAAATGTGATTTAATCTAGTCGTGTTGTGATTGTTTGTTTGTACGGGTAGGGGTGTTGGCGTCGAACGGACGCGCTAGGTAGTGCGCACACTAGCGCAGAAGTGGAACATCCTGGAGTTCGGAGTTGTGTTGTCAGGCGGACGAGCACTAGGGCGAGGGGTGCTGAGCACACCGAGCCGCAACAGACGAAAATTATTATATATAAAAAGTGAAATTGTACAACAAGAATCTTCCTAATTTTTTCTAATTTCTCGATGAAAATTTGGTTCAGAATCTGTAATATTTCTCGTATCTTTTTTATTTTGATTTTCCTGCTTTTTTAAATAATAATGTAATAGTATAATGTAATGCCAAGCCTCCTCTCTAGACTGTTTTCAAAGTTTCCATGGAATGTTAGTTTTTGAATATTTTCCCTTTAGTACTAATGCCTTTCCAATCGTTACATCTATTTCTCGATTACTAGAGATGTATCCAATTGAATAGCAATGATTTCTCTATACTTTTTTGTGTTAATAAAAAGTACAGTAATTGCATTGCTAATCATTCCCCTAAATGAAATTTGTCATCTTTCCATTGTACGGGCTGTTACAAACTTAATGGCTTGAGTTTTACAATCGAAAAATATCCACTAAGGTTTAGTCTACTATAATAATTATCACATTAGAGAACAACTCTTGTATTTTTTTTTCAATTTTTCAGCCTGATAGTTTCATTGCACAATTCTTACCCAGTTTCTCATTACAATAATTTTAAATCCAGAAATCATCGGGCTAAACACGTTTGAATAAATTGACCTCTCTCTCCCCCCCCCCCCTTCCCCCGCAAATTGAATACGATCTGATTTGGAGCGAGCTGGGAGCAACGGGCAGCTCTTGCAGATTTGCAGACAGAACTACTATATAATAGTTGACTTTAATTTTTCGCGGAAAGAAAAGCAGCAGACTTGGAATTTTCCAACTTTCATATCTCAACTTCTTAAGCGAAGTGTTTTTATCAACTTTTTGCTTTAATCCTCAAATTTTGAGAGAAAATTATCAAAATTATAAGTTTTATTGCGCCAAAAATCAAATTTTTTTGCGTAAAGTTCAATGCATGTGATTCTTTATGGTTTCTATAAGTTTCTGTGATGTGTGCGCTCAAAAAACATTTTACATTATATGATTTCCTACTAATTTTTGAGTGACGCAATACGTCAAAATACATGCGATAATGATGGCAGCAAAACGTCAGCAAATATCAGAGTGATCAAAAACCAATGAGGCAAAAATAAATACGCTCCTCATTAGAAGAAACGCTACAGCATTTTATGCAGATTTTAGAAAAATTCAAATTTCTTCGAATTTAGGGCAGAAGTACACTGTGGTGTAAACTGTCAAATTGACTGTCAAATTTCGTGATTTTCGACCCATTGGGCTCCAATTTTTTGTTTAAAAAGACGGAAATTTTGTTTGTATTAAGTCGTATCAAAAGTTCTCCTTTTTTGACTTTTCATAAAAAACGTAAGATAAAGGTGGATAAATTTTTCAACGACTATTCGATGCGAGTTTCGTCTTCAACATTCATGTAACAAACAATTTGCTTTCATGGTTACTAAAGTGGTCACCAAAAATTCGAGCCTATGGTTCTTGCCACCTTGATAGTCCAGCAATTCTTCTGAATTTCCGGTCTCAACTTCTGGAAGAACTATGGTAACTGTTGGATAGCGTAAACAAAGTTTCATTCAAAGAATCGTTTGGGCACTTCCGAAAAGCTTTCCAATATTTCCAAATTATTTTAAAAAATCTCTACTTGTGTAAAGTTTTGTGGTGCAGGAGAGCATCGGACACTAAGAAA